GTCGTCGAAAGCGCCAAGAGTAGCCTACCGTAGGCCTACTTAATGTATTCATGGGTCAAAGTCAAAGGTTCAGCCAATCGTAGTCGTAGCCCGGTTTACGCCCTGCGTGTAGTTGTATGTCTAGATCTAATATCTAGATCAAGATAAACAAAACATGAAAGTATTGAAAGTAGATTTCTCCTGCAGTGGATTTAGCGCGCACGTCAAAGGATGAGTGTATTTTGTGCACAGTGTCTAGATGAGATCTAGAATCGAGATCTAAATCGAGATAAAAAAGAATCATGAAATGAAAGTAGAATCTAGATTGAGCTGGAACTTTAGTAGAAAATGCCACGCCTTCGAAGAGGGGGAAGAAGTCTTACTCCTAGAGGTAGTCATGGGGGGTGCTACATGGATAAATTCAAGGTAAAATATTTATGTTTTGTTTCTTTCCTGTTTTCAGTCTTTTTTCTCTTCGGAACTTTCCTAATACTTCTTCATTATTATTCCGTTCGTAGAACGGGTGTACTTTTACTAGTCTACATAATATTATGAGGGCAAAGGCTACAATTTCTAAGGGAAATAATTCACGTAATAAACCCAAGCCCAAAATATTGGAGAGTACATTCCCCGAAAGAAACAAGTCATTGAAGTCACGTGACAAGATTTCAACGTTTCAAAACGAGGTCAAACAACAATGGCTGAAAAGTTGAACAGAAAAATCTGAGAGAAGGAACATTTCAGCCGATGTTTTGTCATTAAGGAGCTTCAAAATGTTGTTACAGGAACCTGTACAGGTAATGTATTCTTTAGAGATTTGTCGTCTGTCCTTTTCTGATGCTGCAATGCAATGATTGCTCTCTAAATCTGTTGTATCTCGTCCAGAATCCAATTTGTGGCTCGTTTGGTTTTGCAGCGCCGAAGATCGAAACGACTGAAACTAAAAAGATTCGTATGAAGGATTCTTGGGATCTTGACATCTTGCACGCCTGTACCAAAAATTAAGCTTTGATGTTGGTGTGGATAAGTAAAAAATATACCAAAAATATATCAGGATTTATAAAGCTGCATTTGCTTATTTGATGTGAGTCGCATGGTATTTTGTAAGTTTGAAGATGGTAGATTAAAAGACTACAGACTATTAGATCTCTAGTCTAGTAGTGAGGCAGAGGCGAGGGAAGCACCGGCACAACAATGAATCTCTGCCCTCTACCTTGAATATGTTGGTACAGCACGGTTTTCTGGAGTTATGTCGGCCTTACTTGATCTAGTTCTAGTCTAGATTCTAGATCTTAGATCTACTAAAAAATTCTGGCATAATTTCCTAGGGAAGTGGCTATTCTCATCCGGGGTGAGAATAGTCTAAAAATACGATCGACCTCTCACCCCGGGTGAGACTTGCGACCATAGGCTATTCTCACCCGGTTTGAAACAAGACCTGTTTTTCCTAATTTCGGAATACTTTCTATCGATGTGGATGATCAAATTGATAAAAGCCAAGAAAAAAATTACGTTATAGCACAAAAGTAAGCTAATTTGATCGTCTTCAAAGATGCTCTATGGCTATTTCACTGTTCGAATCGAGCCGAACTACGCGGGTCGCCATTTTGTTTTGCCCGGAAGTTCTCGCAAGATCTACTCCTCCCCCCTCTCTCTCTCTCTCTTTGTCTCTTTCTGAATACTGTCTATCGGTGTGGGTGATCTAGACCTGCATGTTTGCCGACAATCGCGAGCCGGCCGATGCTATCACTAGGCCCACCTGTATCAGTCAACGAACGCAGTGCGAGGCCTGGCCGACTGTCAGCGCCCCCCTTTTCTCCCGTCGGCTTTGTCGGCACTTTCGTTTTCAGATCCTGTGGATTCATTCAAGTCCGACTCACTTGTTCTAATAGAATTTAGATTCTAGAGATCTAGATTTATAATGTAGATCATTATATAGAGATCTTCAATGGAGGATTCATATTCCAATTCTATCGTGTCAAACTCTATCATAGGTTGTGCTGTAATATTAATGTTGGTAAAAAGCATTTCATCAGGTGCGTGAATTATTTATTTATTTAGAATCTAGATCTAGACTCAGCTGAGTCCCTCTGTTTGGAATCAGGTGCAGATTTCTAGTTCAAGGCCTTTCCTATTCACTTGTTCTACAAGATCTAGATCTAGATTTATTTAGATTACTAGATCATTTTATTTGAGAATAGCCACTTCCTAATATATTAGATCTCTACTTTTACTTTTGCAAACGTTAGCTTTCCATTGCCTTTCGTTTAGATCTAGAGGTTAGATCAAGATGTATTGAGAGACAATTAGGCTCGTGTGATGCTATCATGACTATTGTTAGTTTTACTGCTTTGTGATAGACCTTCTCTTGTGTGTTGGATGTAATTTTCTTTTTTCAACATTTGTAGATGTGATAAAATGATGCCTTTGTGTGAGGTCAATTATAGTTTACAGTAGGTTACATTCTTTTCTTGCTTGTCAAAGTATTCACAGTTGTGAACCTTTCATCTTGGTTCCTCTTTTTATATATCACTTAATGAATGTGAAAGCTGCCCATATGTTTCATTCTCATACATACCCTTGTATATATTTGAGTCACTGGAACTAGTAGTTAAGTGGAATGTTCACGGGTGCTCTCGTGTGGTTTGTTTCTTTTTTCCTATCAAACATCTATCGTCTTTATCTCCCCTCCTTCTTATTCATAAAAAACACTTACTAAAACTAAAAAAGCTTGTTTTTTTTCCTTTCAATCATTCTTTATCCTTATCTTTTTCTTTTTTTTTAAAGTTTCTCTGCAGTAACATTAGCACCTCTCATCTTCGGCACTTAGATGACCTATTTGTGTTTCTAGTACCGTAAAACTATTTTACTAAAACTAAAATGCAGCAAGCAGGCTGGGGATCAAGAATCAAGAAGACCACTGCCTCATTCAATTGCTGATAGTACCTTTTGACCTTTGACTCTGAGATTGCTCAAACTGTTGAAGCTTTGGGTCCTCACAAACACACCCATGGCATGCTTGTTATAAGACTATTATTTCCTTGAAATATTACTAATTTATTTTTAACAAAATGTATCGTCAGGCTGCCGTTTGGGATGCTTTGAACAACTATTCTTATGGAAATGCTATATTTCTGGCAGAGAGACTTTATGCTGAAGGTAAGTCCTTTGAATGTTTCTTCTCGACGTAATTATGGTGATTTTTTACGAACCGAATTTTTACACAAAGATGCCTGGAAAAATTGAAATGAATGTTGAAAAAGATTGAATATGTTTTTTACATAATTCTTTTTGAACTGACTGTCCTGATTCTTATGTTATATATTACTTGTTTTAGTGTTGAGTGCTTTCTAACTGAAATAGTGAAGGCTCATGTGTCTTAACAATAACACCCTTTGTAGGCAATTTTGTTTATTTTAAATATCCCTGTCAGACTCGTCAGGCTCTTGGGAGCTGCTGGTAGACTTTCGACCCTGTCTCTAAAGACCACAAGACCACATCATGACTTCATTTTTTTGTGCATGACACATAATAATTGTGTTCTTTTTAGTGTTCTAGTCTTTTCTTTAGTGGACTGAGTGAAGAAAATAATATTTTGAGTTCTATGTAGTTTAATTGTTATAATCTTAGCTGTGAGAAATGTTTCATGTTGTTTTGTTTAACCCCCAGTATCGAACACAGAATGTCTGCACCTCTTGGCCACATGCTACTATCGAGCAGGCAAGTCCTATCAAGCCTACATGCTGTTGGAACGCAACAGTTGCCAGACTCCACAGTGCAAATATCTCATGGCTCGATGTTGTGCTGATATTAAAAAGTAAGAAGTCTGTTGTAAATTATCTTATGAACTATTAGATATTCAGAAACAAATTTGATACCTTTGTGTGTGTGTGCCTGGTGAAAGGTACCAAATGACGCATTTTGAAGAATCCCTTTTTTTTTTTCATTTTCATGAACAAAAATAATTTCTGAACAGTATCCTTTTTGAGTTTTTAAGATATCTTCAGTACTTTTTCAAATAAGATGATTTTGTAAGGCAGAGTACGGAAACAAAGTTTTAAGAAAAATGGCTTTAAAGTTTCCCCTTTGTTTCTGCCTCCAATAGATAGATCTATGCTTCCAAATGACCTGACTGCACATTCGCTACTCACAAACCAACTTTTAACTCTTTTTATCCTGACCGTCGTCTCCTCTTCCTCCCCGACACTGTGCCTGTCCTGGGGCTGCCACGCCATATGAGCTGGAATTTGGGGTGTATTTTTCAAAGTGCTGTATTTCTTACTTTTACACTTAGTAGACCTGCATGTTTGCCGACAATCGTCTGAAATCCGACAATCGCGACCCGACCCGCGAACCGGCCGATGCTATCACTAGGCCCGCCTGTATCAGTCAATGAAGTCAATGTGCATAGTGCGAGGCCTGGCCGACTGCTGGCGACCCCTTTTTCTCCCGTCGGCTTCGTCGGCACTTTCGTTTTTGTGCCGACCGCCGACGCGCGCTCGGAACCTAGGTAGAAATGCGAATACCAAAAAGGACGACAACCTAAATCATCTACTTTCAGTTTCGTGCTCGAGCGGCCATTTTGAATTTCGTTTGTTGACTAATTCAATTGTTCAGATCGTGTGGATTCATTCAAGTCCGACTCTCTTGTTCTAATAGTTCTTCTAGATCTAGAATCTAGATGTAGATTTATATAGATCATTATAGACCTCAATTGAGGATTTCATATATTCCAATTCTATAGTGTCAAACCAAGGAGTTTAGAACTAATGGAGCCTCCTCTCTCTCTTCATGGCGCCACGAGCAGTACGCCGTGGTGGGGATCAAATATGGCCGCCGAGTGTGGGCTAAATCTCGAACTGTGGCTTTTCTTTTTATAGAATCTTATCGGGCTGGGCCACGTTGTGGGGGTGGGCGGGGTGGGGGAATGCACGCAAGGAAGAGGGGATGGGGCAGGGATGAAAGAGGAGGGGCGGGCCTTGGGAAGGGACGAAGGAGAATGGGAAAAATTAAATAAGAGAGAGAGAGAAAGAAAAAGAGAGAGTGAGAGAGACAGACAGATAGACAGACAGACAGACTGAGAAGAGAGAGAGAGAGAGAGAGATTGTGATCAACTGACGGGCTGACGGATAATGACAGGGAGAAAAAAAAATTCTGTGTGTGATACGGACTGTTCAATTCTTTCAGAGTTTTATGTTATAATCTAGTTTAAATATCAAAAAGATGTGTAAAATAAGAAGTAAACTTGTCCAAGTAACATAAAATTATCAAACATATCAAATTATAAAGATAATCTTTCAAGATGTTAAAATATTTAAGTATTAGAAATGGATAAAAATATACTTTAAAACTGAATTTAAGATATTGTGATTGCATGATTCTAGGCGTGTGCCATAACCACAGAATTCTACACTTATAGAAGCGGAACTCCCTCTTCGCGATCGCCGATTCGCTGTGAGGAATTGAAACTAAAACATGGCGGCCAGTTGAGGGCACCTTTGCCTGCGCCGCACAGCGAGGCTTCGCGTTGCTATGCACGCTGATGCTAGTGGTAGGGCTTGGAAGACACCTTACATTAAGTTACATCAGTATTTTAAAACTTTCTTCGAAGAGGAAATATAGTCTAGTTCATTTTTACTGCCAACAATATGTCATAATTGGCAATGTTACAATGTTTTTGTATCTGTATTGTTGGTTTGTTGTTGTTTTTTTAATGATGGGATGGGATGGGATCTAGATCTAGATAGATCTAGATCTCTAGATCTACTACTAGATCTAGATCTACTAAAGATCTTCACAATCACAATACACTTGATAATAACACTAATTATGAACATTAACTCTGTTGGAAAAGTATCTAGATATAGTCTTGATTAGTACTAGATCTACGATTGGAGAATGTGTCGGTTGCACATAAAATACATAGGCCTATTGTACATGCTGCCAAAAACACAAAAATGCAGAAAAGGCCTCTAAATATTGTTTTACACATAAAAGCCAATAATGCAAAACAAAGTAAACAAGAGTGGAACTGGCATATGTTTCCTGAATATATGTTCAAAGTCATTTTCTGTGTGTTGGGAGTGTGATTTCTAATGCATGAATGAGAGGCTCATTCAGATGTGATAATGAAGAAACTTGTGTCTACAGTCACAACAGAAAGAGTTCCATGGCGAGTGATCACTGGTCAAGGATTTCAGAGCTGTGTGCATTTTGAGAAAAATGTATCCCCATACTCTGGATCACATGTCGAGGGGATGGGCTTGTCCCCCTGTAATCCCCGCACACAGTAAACAAACACATATTTTGGAACACGAACAAGAAAAAATAAGTGGTCTGTTGTTACGGATCAAATTGAAGTCCTGTTTCAATTCGATTAATTGATAAAAGTGCGTATCGCAATGCGTTGGACACCCCTGCCCTATAGGCCTATATGCTATTTAATAAATACATTCGTCAGACCTGGAATCTTTAATGCCCGCACACAGTAAACAAACACACATTTTTGAACACGTATAAGAAAAAATAAGTGTTGTCTTGTTACGGATCAAATCGAAGTCCTGTTACAATTCAATTAATTGATAAAAGCGCGTATCGCAAGGCATTGGCTAACCCAGCACTATTACGCTATTTTATAAATACATTCGTCAGATCTGGAATCTTTAATCTTTAATTTTTAATCCCCGCACACAGTAAACAAACACACATTCATGAACACGTATAAAAAATAAGTGGCCTCTTGTTACGGATCAAATTGAAGTCTTGTTACAATTCGATCAATTGATAAAAGTGCGTATCGCAATGCGTTGGCCACCCCTGCCCTATAGGCCTATATGCTATTTAATAAATACATTCGTCAGACCTGGAATCTTTAATGCCCGCACACAGTAAACAAACACACATTTTTAAACACGTATAAGAAAAAATAAGTGTTGTCTTGTTACGGATCAAATCGAAGTCCTGTTACAAATCAATTAATTGATAAAAGCAAGTATCGCAAGGCATCGGCTAACCCAGCACTATTACGCTATTTTATAAATACATTCGTCAGATCTGGAATCTTTAATCTTTAATTTTTAATCCCCGCACACAGTAAACAAACACACATTCATGAACACGTATAAAAAAATAAGTGGTCTCTTGTTACGGATCAAATTGAAGTCTTGTTACAATTCGATCAATTGATAAAAGTGCGTATCGCAATGCGTTGGCCACCCCTGCCCTATAGGCCTATATGCTATTTAATAAATACATTCGTCAGACCTGGAATCTTTAATGCCCGCACACAGTAAACAAACACACATTTTTGAACACGTATAAGAAAAAATAAGTGTTGTCTTGTTACGGATCAAATCGAAGTCCTGTTACAAATCAATTAATTGATAAAAGCAAGTATCGCAAGGCATCGGCTAACCCAGCACTATTACGCTATTTTATAAATACATTCGTCAGATCTGGAATCTTTAATCTTTAATTTTTAATCCCCGCACACAGTAAACAAACACACATTCATGAACACGTATAAAAAAATAAGTGGTCTCTTGTTACGGATCAAATTGAAGTCTTGTTACAATTCGATCAATTGATAATAGTGCGCATTGCAATGCATTCGCTAACTCAGCATTATACGCTATTTAATAATACATTCGTCAGATTTGGAATCTTAAATTATAATCATAATTATATGTGCCGCGCGTGGGAAGTGAAAGTGAAAGGAATTGAAAATGCTTTCAAAAACAAAAACATAATTAAAGTAGGACTACCTGTGCTTATAAAGGCTCAAAAAGGTGTATGGATGCGGAAATTAATGTTTCGGATGAAAATAATACGCTATCTTCACTACTGTAGCATGCGGTCAAAAATTTGATGCGCAACTTATTATCAAATATCTAGGCTACTGAACTATCAAACACCTAGATCTAGATTCTCCTACTTTTACACAATGACTTAGATCTATATCTAGATGGTCATATAATCAGGCCACCTGCGCGCTACTGACCTAGATTCCTTGTGGGCTGACACACCCGTGTAGTAAGCCCACAACCTTGTAGATCATTAGTAGTGATAAGCCTACGCAGGGTGCGGCGGTCAGTTTGAATTGTTGTTTTCTCATGCTTTGACACTGGATTATTTCTGCCTAATGCAGTTTGCTTTTCAAGTCATCTGGATTATGTGAATATTTTCTACATCATTGTGTGTGTTGAGGAACAGAAGTGGTGACTAATTAATTAATTAATTAAGATTGACCAACAGTCTTGAGATCGCAAATTTGAAGTGCTGTTTGGCTGCACTGTAGGCCTACTGTTCATTTTCAGATTCTTCATCGCCATCGTACTCAGTGAATGCCTGGATTCTTTTAGTTGAAGCCTAATGCAGTTTTTTTTTTCAAATCATCTGGATTGTGTGAATATCAAATATCTCTTCCATCAGTGTACGTGCTTAGATTAAACCTACAGTGAAGTTTTGACCGTGCAAGTTTAATTCATATCTGTCTAAATCCATTCTAAAATCCATGTCTACACAGTGGAAGCCCCCCCATCCTGATCCGCACACTCTTCACTGACTTAGAGCCTCTCTATGCAAACAACCACTAAAAACGAACTCTCCATCCTATCCCTAGATCTGCTTTTAGATTTAGATTAGATTGTAACACAAACAAAAGACTAAAAGGACCATGTAGATATAAATCTATCTAGACTCTGAGCGTCTAGGGGCCCACCCTTGTTAGGTAGGGAAAAGTATACGGATCATAATTATGGGGGAGCTCCTTTGTCTTTGTGTTTTTCCCGACCTGCTTTGTATATTAATATCTGCTGT